GTCACCGGCAGGGCCATCGTCTGGACCTCCACCGCCACCTCCACCGCCACCGCCTCCACCACCTCCAGGTGGTGCTCCGCCTCCCCCGCCGCCACCTCCTCCGCCACTAGGAGCAGGTCCCCCGCCCCCTCCACCACCTCCGGGTCCCTCCACGCCCTTCCGCATACGCCCTGCAGTCCCTCAGAAGAAACTACGACCCTTCTTCTGGAACAAGCTCTCCGCGCCAACTCTCACATCGACAGTATGGGCCGACGCTCCTGCGGGCGTCACGTTCACATTTGACGACCTCGAAGCGACGTTTGCGCTGGATGCTGCACCATCTACGCCTACTCCCAGCGTCTCGCGTTCACCTTCAGTACGCAAACAGAGCGTCACGACGTTATTGGATATCACGAGGGCGAATAATGTTGCAATCATGCTCAGCCGGATCAAATTGCCACCCGCCGAGATTAAGCGCGCGTTACTCTCACTCGACGATACGCTCCTTTCCGTAGACGATCTCAAAGCTCTCTCCCGCCAGATCCCCACGACTGAAGAGATCGCTCGGCTACGCGACTTCGGTGATACATCCACCCTCGCGAAAGCCGACCAACTCTTTGTTGAGCTCTCCACTATCCCTCGACTTGCCAACCGTCTGGAGTGCATGATCTTCCGGAGACGATTGGAGTTGGATGTGGAGGAGCTAAGGCCGGAGTTGGACATTGTGAGATGCGCTGGGAAGGAGATGAAGGGTGGAGAGAGGTTTAGGGGCGTGCTTGCTGCTGTGCTTGCAGTGGGGAACGCGTTGAATGGGTCGACCTTTAGAGGTAGGGCTAAAGGGTTTAAGTTGGACGCTTTGCTCAAGGTACATGCATTCCCTCGACCGTGGTCCTGAGATACAATGCTGACCATGCTCCACTATAGCTTCGTGAAACGAAGACGGTCGCGGGCGGACCGAGCTGTCCAACACTTTTGCACTACGTCGCGCGTACACTCCTTCGCGCGGATCCCACGCTCGTGACATTCATCGAGGATATGCCTCACCTAGAAGCTGCGGCGCGCGTATCAGTGCAGACGCTCACACAGTCTATCTCGCAACTCGTTGCCGGACTCGATAAGCTCAAGGACGAGGTGAAACGCGTTCGTGCGGACCGCGCCGCACCAGCCGGTGATCGTTTCGCCGTTGTCATGGGCGTATGTCTATTTCACTACCTGATGCCAATATCTGTGCTGACGGACTTGGACAGCCTTTTGCGCAAAGCGCAGGAACGACAGTTGATGCGCTCCGCAATATGTCCGGCGCACTCGACCGCGAGCTCTCTTCATTGCTCTCCTACTTCGGTGAACAGCCCGATGCGCAAGACGCACCGAAACCGGAAGACCTCTTTGCGCTTGTGCTCTCGTTCTCTGCGGCATTGCAGAAAGCCGCATTAGAGGTGCACGATGCGGATGTTAAGGCTGGTGTGAAGAACCCCGCGCCGCCTGTGATCGTCGAAGAAGAGGCGCCTGTTTCCAGGCATGCGAGGGATGCGACTGTACGCGCAGAAGGCGAAGGCACAGTGAAAAGCGCAACTGGAAGGGACGAGGGTCCAGGTGGAGGACTCATGCTACCACCGATGCCACCGATACCGCCCACGCCTGACAGCATCGGGCGACGCTCGGTCGGAAGGGGACAGCTGGATCAAACAATCCGGAGCATGCGTGATGGGAGGAGGCGCGCGAGGCCGGATAGGGAAGGGAGGAGACCGCTCAGCAAGATGTTCTTCGACGGCGCGCCTGCTGGTGGCAATAGGGCTAGTAGGGCTTTTGATACTTGAGCGTCTTGAGAGGGACTATACCTATCGTTGTTTGTTTGCTGTTTGTTGTATTGCTGACTTACGACTTGATGACCTCACGATGTTCTTGTAGTCATACTCGATCTCTTTTACCGTGTACTTGGAGTGTGCTTTATCCGTACGAGTCTCTATGGTATTCACCCGCCACATTGAACCCCAACACCGTACCAGCAAACGACGAGATGGACCCTTCGGCCCAGGTAGAAGCGTCGTCGGCAAAGTCCGGCGTGGTTCAAGTTGGTGGCGCGCGCGTGGCACCCTTGCCCACTTGTCTCGACCCCCCACTTGCGAGAACTTGAATTCCAGGCCCGCTGCTTCTGGCGCCGATTGTTATCAAGAGCAGCTACGATTGGCCATCTGTGCATCTGATAGCAGGGTCTCCATTCCGCACTGCTTGCGAAAGGTGGTTCTCCTGCCTCATTTCGTGCTCGTGTTCCATCAACCACGCTTCTTTCCTGCTGTGCTTGCGCAATCTTCTAGAATACGATCCAGTGGTTGTGTGGTTGCTTAGCTTGTATAAGTACATTGCTGGTAAGCTGCCCGATTCTGCTCCCAACGCCCACCACCGTCCGCCGTCTTTCCTTCATCGTCTTCACCTCTGGACATCTATCCTTGCCATTATGCCTAACTATCGCCCTTCTGGGACTGACCAATGGTCTGCTTCTGGATTTCAGTCTGCTATCAACATGCAAGACGCGCAATCCAAAGATATGGAACACCAATTCGTCTCCGGTAATCTTGTCGAGCCTGAGGTCTTCCTCACAACATACCTCCCCGTGCCGGCCGGCCGACCACCCGTGAAGGAGTTTGAATTCTCGGAGGATGCCATTGATAACGAAGAAATCTGGGTATGGGTTTTTTACTCTCAGGAAAATAAGCACGTCGGTACTGATGTGCCACTGTCATCACAGGCGCAGGAGGCAAATACAATCCCTGGTTGCAAGGATATCCTCGAGTTCTTCGACACGCACAACGCGGGCTCACAGTCGGAGGGAGAGAGTCGGCGCCCCGATCTGACTGCCTTTCTTCTGACTCGGCGGGGCAAGAAGACAACCTTTGACCGTGTTAATCCGCGTACCAAGAAGACGCTCGTAGACACGAAGTTCAGAGACCTCTTTCGTTGGGCTGCCCTTGTCATTGAGCGCAAGCTCTCCTCTCAAGATGGCTGGCGCGACGTCGCGACCGGCACCAAAGAGGGGGTAACGCAAGTCTCGGGGCGCGTGCGCGGACAGCTTATTTGCTACAACCTCCACCATTTCCGCGAGCAACCGCGCATCTTCACCTTCCAACTCCTGCTCATCAAGCACATGGCGCGCATCATTCGCTGGGACCGCGCCGGGGCAGTCGTCACTACGGCCTTCGATTGGACGAAGGGCACTGTGCTTTCCGACTTCCTCACCCGCTTCGCCGCTGCAACTCCTGAACAGCGTGGCCTAGATACGACCGTGCGCATCGCCACGACCGATGAGGCTGAGATGCTGTTGCAAAAGTGCGAGGACGAAGACTTGCCGACACCCAGAGAGCCCTACTGGGTGTACACGGTCGTCGACGACCCTACGCCCGCGTCTGCACGCCAGGATCCTGCACCAGCTCACTCTAATAGTCCAAGCCCCACCACATTGGCCAACGCACTTGACGAGGAGGTTGAACCCGATCCGGCGCCTGTGCACCCGGCTATTCTCGAGAGCCGTGAGTTCGTCGTCGGGCGGCCGATTTCCAACCCTCGCGCATTTACCGGCAGGACGTCTACCGGCTTTGTTGCGTATGACATCGTGGACAACGACCTTGCCTACCTGAAGGATGCTTGGTACTCCGACGACCCGGACATTCTCCCCGAGGGTGAAATCTATCGCCGCCTTCAACCTAAGCAGGGCGAAGAGAGATGCATATCTATTCCAACGCTCGTGTGCGCAGGAGACGTGCGGTATGGCGACGGGAGGCTCCAGATCACCCTCAGCCAGCTGCAGGTACCGGACTTCTTGAAAGATAACTCGCGCATACGTCGTCACACGCACACGCGCACGGTTGTGAGGGAGGTGGGCGTGCCGATGACGGCATTCGCGAAAGTTTCCGATCTCTTCCAGCTCTTACGCGACACCATCAGGGGTGCGTTCATCTGACTGTGACACTCAAGCGCACAAGCTGACTCTAATTCTCAGCTCACCGCTACGCGACGGAGCGCAACATTCTTCATCGCGATATCAGTCCGGGAAACATCATGATCAATCGAAAGTACCCAAATGCGCGCGCCCTTCTCGTCGACTGGGATCTCGCTTTGGACATGCTCAAACCGCAAGCATCAGCTGAGCGGTTTGTCACGGTGAGAGTCCCACGTTTGTGCTCCGTCATATCGTATTTACTGGGAAGTCATAGGGAACCTGGCAATTCGTGTCCATCGTTTTACTCAATCACGACGAGAACCATAGGCATGACGCCGAGGATGACTTGGAATCTATGATCTGGGTCCTATACTACTGCCTAGCTCGGTACACGAACCTCGTTCAGGGAGGTGACGCCTCCGTCCAGGATTTTCTCAACGCGACGTTCGATTATAGCCGCAACGTGGCTGCGAATAATAAGGCAAAGGCAGAGCAACGGAAGGGACGGAAGGGTGGCGTCGTAAAGAAGGAACTGCTTGAGGAGATGTTTCGTGAAGCCTCGGCAGACATGCAACCGCGGAATACGACGCCGGCTTTGAGGAATTTCTTCCTTGACATCCCCGAACCTCTCCTTCACCATGTCGATCTTCGCGACCTGCAGCGCACGATAAAAGCGAAGGAGAAAGAAGCCTCCGAGGACGCAATCTCCAAACGGTTGCTGAAGCGTTTGGAAGAGGATTTGGCGAAGCATATCGCCAAGGCGAATGGGAAGACGGCGACATTTGGCTATGAATGGCTTGCAGAGCGTTTTGACGAAGCTATCGTCGAGATGCAGAAGGTCGAGTCAACCGCGGCGTCTTCAACCTCTTCTGCATCGCCGGGGTCAATGCGTGTGCCCGACCGCCTGAAAAGTAACGACGCTGTAGGCGAGGGTGAGGGCGAGAAAGAGGAAGAGGACGAGGACAAGTCGGGGGAGCAGGCTCCTGAGGCGGCTGAGGAGGAAAGGGTCGTGAGAGTCACCACTCGCGGTAGTTCTAAGCGTGGCTCGACGGACACCTCGACGGATGAACCCGCGAACAAGCGCGCTACCACGCCGCGCACTCGCAGCGGACGTAGCAACATCTCGGGATCATACCGCAGCGAACTCCAGCCTATCGAGGACAACTCACCGGTCAAGCCTAAGCCTTGAGTGCCGAGCTCTCGAGCATGGCTCTCCGCCGCCGCTGCGACCTTTCTCCATTTTACTACCATGTACCTATGTATGCTTCAATGTACACTATGTCCCTAGAATTGCTGGTCTCAACGAAGCTTTGTAATTTACATGCTGCCTATGATGACGCGACCTTTACCAACTTGCCCCCGGTCTGCTGCCTGGCACTGCAACGATTGATCCCGTGCACAGCGTAAGTTACTGCAACTTTTGAAAACACATGTGACCGCGTCTCGCCGCGCGTTCGTTGTTCGCGCTGTTTCGGCGCTGTTTCGGCGCTGTTTCGGCGCGTCTCGCTCATTTCTCCGAACGACCATCGGTGAACAACATTGTCACCCGTTACGTATCATGACCTGATATAGTGGGACGCGCGGGACGATGTATAGAGTAGTCGGCTTACAGAAATGGCAACTACGAAGATACGTTTGGTCCGCCCCTGTTACCGGTTGTCCTGAATGCGCGAAGTGAGAAGATAATTAGTGGCAACGCCGACCAGTACGGTCGTTGTTTCATCTAGTTCGTACCGCATCGCGCGCACTGTGGTTGTGGCGGGTGGTTTAGCGTCGTCACCTCGTGGACCCGGCGGGGTGGTTGTACAATAGGTATCAAATGTCAGGGCAATATCATGTCGATCGCTTTCCGCGGCGCCTTCAAGTTTCGTCAGGATGAAGAAGCCTTCTTCTCCTATGCACCCTCAAGTGACCGTGCCGAGAAGCGATTGCGTACATCTAACTGAGGCGTTTCTCGTTGATTGGGATGTGAGCCGACACACTCACAAGTCAGGGACGTCGCCTGAGCCGCTTGCCATGGTGAGATTGCCGCTCGTTCAGCGGTTGCGCTATAGTATGCTGATATAGAAGTCGCAGGGAACTTGGCAGTTTGTGTCCATCGCGTTGGTGACGCGTAGTAAAGGACATCGGTACAGCGAGCAAGACGACTTGGAGTCCGTGCTATGGGTTGTCGCCTATTGCTTAGCCCGGTACACAAACCTATACAGTGGCTCTAATAAAGCACTTGTCGAGTACCTGTACACCTGCTTCGACGCAGCGCACACTGCTAGTCGGCAACACGAAGGCCTCCCGGAGGCGCATACGGGTGGAGATGCGAAGAGGAGGGCGCTGCAAAATATGTCGAAGTTGCCCAATATGTCGAACGGCGGATCATCCTTCTTGTCGGATGGAACCCATCCTGCCATACGCTACCTCCTCATTCAGCTGGCACGCTCGCTCTGCCTCTTTCTGCAACGACGTTCAGCAGAGGCTGTCTTGCTCCCTTTCGGCGATAACTCTCCCGAGGAGGACGACCCTACATTCGACGATTACTTCAACGCTGACGTTGTGCTGGACGTGGTCAAGAAGATGGAGAAGAGATCATTCCCTTTCACGCATCAAAACATTGCCAAGACTCTCGAGACCGCTCGCGAGAAGTTTGTAAGCACTGACCTATCCTCGTCGAGCTCTGAGGTCTACGGCTCCAAAATGCTACCTGATCGCGTGAAAGCGCATCACGCCGATGAGCGCCGGCGGGAGGAAGCAAAGAGCGAAGACTATTACATAAACTACGAATGATCCATGTAGTTAAATAATTCCAGTTTGCTCCCTAACTGATGTCTTAGTAACGAGCTCTTCAGTCGACAGGACCAAGTAGATGGGCACTCGCCGCTTGAGCGGCGTCGTTGTTCAGTGTAGGGTTTGTGCGCGGGAACGCATCAAAAACGGCTTCTCATAGCGCGCGGGACCGACGACTACACCTCGGCAGTAAGTGGACGCTCACCATCAACCTGATGCTCCTACTCTCTGAGCAAGCCGAGCCACGGGAAAACACCCAAACTACGACATCGTGTCAATAGCGTCAAGCTCAGACATACGACGCTCTCGACGATATTGCTCCCCCGATTTAGCCCTTAATCCGTCCAGCGTTCGGCATCGCCGCGGTGTTCGGAGTACTCGGGTTTGAGCCTTGAGGGGAGTCCATCCTGAATGGTCTTCTCGGCTGCTCAAATGCAGGCTCTCCTCATCATACCATCCATGGGCGACATGGCATCTGTCGTCAACGGATTCACCCTCCCCGCCCCCGCCGCGCGCCTGAGCGGCGAAGACCTATACGGCCTCGACCCGTACGACTACAACTTCTGCTACCCTGTCAACTTCCTCCAACTCGAGACCGACCGCGTCGCTCTCATGCCCCTTGTGCCGCGCCTTCACGCTGAGCTCTACTTCGAGAGCGTCTGCAAGGACGCCGCGATCGAGAAGTGGCTACACGTCCGGCACGATACGCTCGAGCAATTCCTTCAAAATCTGGAATCATGGCGTCGTGACTCCAGTCAGCTCGTACTGGCCATCGTCGACAAAGGATGTGGCGATGGCAGGGCGCTTGTCAACGTCCCTGGAGGCAGCTTCGCGGGAATCATAGGACTAATCAAGACCTCGATTGGGAACCTCTCGACAGAGATGGGTCCTGTCATCACCCTGCCCGAATTCCAACGCACATACGTTACATCAAGTGCCATCGGCCTCCTCCTGCGTTACTGCTTAGAGGTCCCAGCGAAAGGCGGTCTGGGGTTGCGTCGCGTCCAATGGTCCGCCAATGCGAAGAACAAGACGTCAGTGCGGTCCGCGGTTCGGATGGGCTTCCAGCGCGAAGGGACGCTGCGCTGGGCGTTATCTCTTTCAGACGAGACGAAGATTGGCAACGGGCACGCTTTGCGGGAGGGAGACCCTCAGCCAAACTGGCCGGGCCGGGATACCGAGGTGCTCTCGTTTTGCTCGGACGACTGGGAGGCGGGAGGACGCGAGCGCGTTCAAGCTCTAGTAGATCGTCGATAAGAAATGAGGTACGTACGCTGAAGGTTTTGAAGGGTGTGTCCTCATGGCTTGACAGGCAAAGGCGTATTGACGTATTGACGGGTCGACCTCCGGATACTACGTCTTCGGTGAAGTCCCCAATGAAGGCGACTAAGGGAGTCTGTTTAGAGCGTGGCACTGTGATGTGTCGGCTCCAGGCTGCTCTGAGTACCGAGAGCAATTGACAATAACATGCATTAGCGTTGCTGCTCTGTCCTTTTGCACACTCCATGGCGCGCAGATCACACTTACGGCAGGTGGTTCGAGTCACTTGCTACCTCGTGTACCCATCGTGGTGGTTGAAGCGTAGGTATAAGATGGTGTGGCGATGCCGCCACGAATCGCTTTCCCTTCCCCTCCTCCATATCGAAAGGCCTGCTTTCTAATGCACCATCGAAGTATCTTGCCGGAGAGCGGCATCATGGATCTAGCCGAGGTGTTTCTCGTCGACTGGGATGTGGTTCCACATTCAAACACTTCCCAGGCGACAACTGCGCGTTGTGCCGTGGTAAGATTGGCACACACATACTTTCTCCCCGGTATACTCATTGCCTCTTATGGTGTAGGGAACTTGGCAGTTCATGTCCATCGTGTCACTGCAGTACGACGAGAACCATCAATACGATGCTGAAGATGATCTAGAGTCCTTCCTATGGGCCTTCTGCTACTGCTTAGTTCGGTACACAAATTTGTACCCGGGCGACAATGCGATGGCCCGTGCATTTCTGCAAGACGTCTTCGATTACAGCCGTAATGTCGTCAAGGACGATAAGGCGAAGACGCACTATCAGAATGGTGGACAGCTAAAGGAGGTATTACTCAGCCGGATGCGCAATGGCAAAAGCGTAGAGCTGCAGCCGCAGGGTTTAGCCAAACCGTTGCGTTCTCTCCTCAGGATCGTCGGCAAATCCCTTCTCTACCACGTAAACATGCGGCATTTGGAGCGCTGGATTCGTCCCTCCATATACAACCCGCCGACGGACGACCTTGGCGAAGAAGAACTAGAGGATCTTCAAGAGCAGCTGGAACAACACAAGGCAGCCGCGGTCCCGGATCAGGCTTTTGGCTACGTGTGGCTCAAGTCTGTCCTCGAGGGCGCCATCGAAGGCATGAGGAAATTCGAATTGCCTGCATTGTCGACTCTCTCCGGCTCGCCACCTCGTGGATCTGTGCGCGTCGAGGACCGGTTTGAGACAGAGAAGAGGGGAGCGACTCCAAGCAAACCCACCGCTGAAAAGGAGGAGGAGAGGGAGAAAAAGCGGACTAGTCGTGGGGGTTTAAAGCGCGGCTCGACGAGCACTTCGGAGAAGCCGGCATCGAAGCAACGCCCGGTCAAGGTCGCACTCGCAGCGGCCTCACACACAGCCCGGATAACTCCCCGGGAAAGCGCGAGTGTTGAGCGTTGAGCTATTGTACATCTGTCCCCGCCGGTGTTATGGCCTTTCTTCATTTTATCTTGTACTTATACGTATGCTTCCGAGTCGATGTACGATATGTCTCTAAGATTGCTGGTATCAATGAAGCTCAGTAACTTACGCGCTTCCTGCAATGGCGCCTGGTCGACTTTTATCAGCATACGCTCAAGATTAAAACACATGTGACCGCGTCTCGCGCGCACAACTTGTGCCGCCGAGCGTCTCTCGGCTCAGGTCAGAACGACCATGAACGCACGACGTTGCCTGGTGCTTGTTTCTTTCGCGTTGTGCCACACACGCTATACTTGTGTCGAGTGGTTGCAGTCATAATGTTGTGTTCTAGGTTGGGTGGTTGCAACGCGCGTAGGTATAAAACCGTCGCGGCAACCCACGAATCGCTTTCCGCGGCTTCAGCGAATTCTCTCTAGGATGAAAGAGCCGTCTTCTCCTCTGCGCCCTCAAGTAACTGTGCTGAGAAGTAACTACGTACGCTCAGCCGAAGCGTTCCTTGTTGACTGGGATGGAGCCCAAGAGACGTCGTTTGGACGTGATAGGGTGAAACCGACACGCGTTTAGCTTTGTTCTGGCGTTATGTTAATGCAGAATCTATAGGGAACTTGGCAGTTCATGTCCATCGTCGCACTGCAGGGAGACTCGTACCACCAACGCGACGTCGCAGACGACCTAGAGTCCTTCATTTATACTGTTGCTGGGCCTCTCGTATATCATGTTGAGCTTCGCGATCTGCAGAGGGCGATAAGGGCGAAGGAATATCAATTGATGAAGGACGCGGGCGCCGAGAGATGGCTGGAGAGGTTGAAGAGGGATTTGGAATGTCATATTGCCGAGGCGGAGAGGCGGGAGATAGCGAGCGTGGACTATGAATGGCTTTCGAAATGCTTCGAAGATGCTCTCACTGCCATGCAGAAGTTCGAGTCGGCCACGGCGTCTTCGACTTCGCATCCGAGAGCCGGGTCCTTGCGCGTGCGGGACCGCGTCAAGCATGCCGACGCTGCGGGCGAGGTACAGGATGGGGACGAAGACGCGAACACGTCGATGTTGACGGTCAGATGAGATGGGAAACGGACTCGGAGGATATGTCATTGTCTCTGTACAGCGTGTATGCATGAGAGTTTGCGCCACACGGGCTGGAGTGGGTTGGGCCTGATCGACGCGCAGCTGTAGGCGCCGAGGTACATTCTTGTCTGTAAACGGTTGGATACGTTCTTTGAAATACAAAAGCATAAGGATGTATGGACGGGGATTACCGAATGCGGCAGCGCGAATAGGATGGGGTCCTCGGACGCGAGAGGGTCGGATCCGAAGATCAAGTGCGGGGTAAGGGCATCCGTCAAACGGGGATACAAGCCTGAGAGTCACACCGCATCAGCTATACCCGGAGAGTCCAGCTGGACGACCAAGTACGGGGTGAGAGCGACCGGTGTCTCGAGGGGCCATTGCGACGAGACTCGGGGTTTCAGGACACAAGCGCGTCGGTACCGCAGCACCCGAGCATGTATGAAGTTATGGGTCCACATAGTGCTCAGCTTCTCCTGAGCTTAAAGGACCTGGGGTAATGAAGACCGAATACGGCGCACGCCGCTAATTGCCTGACGACGAGGACGTTGACTCGCCTGTGAGCGTCCGAAGCCGAGGCGAAGTCCGAAAGACGGAAGAGTGTAGAGCGCGGGAAGGGCATCACGCGTGCCGTCTCACGCACGCGTGCGCGCCGCCCATCACGTCCTCGAACGGTCACCGCCATCTCTGGACGGGGCCATGCCGAGCCGGCGGCAGAACTCGAGCAACAACGTGTCCGTGGCTGGCGGAGGGGGCAGCCACAGGTCCAAAGAGAGCGCCTCGTACGCGCACCCGCCCAGCACCGCCCACGGAAATGGCAACGGCCCCAGCGCCAAGGGCGAGAGCAGCCATCCGAACCAGATCATCCAGGCTCTCGTCCAGAGGTTATGGGCAAAGGTGTGTATAGAATATAATACTGGTAAATATATGCTGATATGGCGTGCAGCTTCCTGCGAACAGCGGGAGCGAGCTGACGGAGGTCGAGGGCGACGGGACGATGCAGAGCACGGTCGAGTGCCTCGTCGAGCTCTCCGCGTCGTCGCTGGACGTGACCGCATTGGCGCTGACCGAGAAGCTGGAGCGGATGGGGAAGCACCAGGACCCGAAGGAGCCCCGCACGACCGAGTTCCTCCAATCACAGCTCTTCCTCCTCAAGGTCCTCGCCGTCTGCATGGCCGCGCGCTACCACACACAGCCCACTGTCCGGCCACGCGACGACATGTGGTCTCTGCCCGACGACAGGAGCCAGCCGCAGCCGATATACGCCCAGATGCCCGCAGACCCTCCCCCGCTCCAGGAGGACTGCGCGAGATATATTCTCGTTATTATGGTCGCCCTCCTCCGCCAGACGGCGCCTCCAGAAGGACGGCTGATGAGCAGCGCCAATTTGTCTTTTGAGGCCACGTTTCATGATTTCGAGAGCATCGAGGTCGAAGACGCGCCGCCTGCGCCGACGGACAACTTTGACGACGACGACCCGCGCTACAACCCGGACAAGTCCGCGCCCAGCGTCGCCCAGCCCCCGGCGCCTCCCCCATTGGCTCAGCTCAACACCCGTTTCGAGCGCACACACAAAGCACTCGCACGCTCGCACTTTTCGCTCAACGCCCTGATTCTCAAGTTCGCGGGGCGCATTGTCTATCACTTGTCTGCGTCAAACTGGCCGGTCGTAGTGGACAAAATCCAGAAGAAGATTCGCGCGTTGGCTGGTTCTACGGATGAGAGCCCTGACATCATCGACTTGTACTTGATGAAGCACTCTGCCCTCGACCGCGCCCGTCTCATGCAGATCCTGCACGAGATGAGCTCTCTACTCGTGAACATGGCCCCCGAAGCCAAGGCTGCGCTGGCTGTACCGCTCAGGACGGCGCTGTGGAACTGGATCGATCTGCACCCCGAAGAGTACGACGCCGCTATTCGTGCACACAGGAGGGCTACCAGCCTCGAAGGCGCACCCGAACGCGTCTTCGATTTATTGTACGATGCCGCGCCAGCTGGTGCTTCTCTGGCCGTCGCACGCTCCATCTGGCCTACTCTTGCAGTCCTCGCTGCCATCTCGCCCGAACGCGCCCGAGGCGGCGGAGGCGAGTACCTGCTCGAGCCATCTCCAACTTCTCGCTCAGGACGCACATCCGCCAACAAGTTCTTGTCTGCTCTACAACGCGCCGCGCATGCGCCGGGTACGAAGACGCAGGACGTGGCGATTGTGTGTCTGCTTGATCTATGCCGAGCCGCTGCACGCGCTTCGCCATCAACAACAGAAGAAGGCGAAGAAACACTCCCCCTCCGCCTCCTCGCGACCGACATCTGCCACGACGTCCGCGCGGTCCTGCTCTCGTACGAGCCCTCGCCGACCGTCAAGAACAAGCTCCTCCCCTTCTGGGACTCGACCGGCGAGATCGACGTCGCGATGTTCGCCGACGCGCTCGTCACGACGCACCGCTTCGCGCCGCGCGCCGAAGCAAGGATGTTGTTCGAGACGTGTCTCGAGGCGACGCGCGCGGACGCCGTCAAGCTCGTCGCGGTCAAAGCTTTGGTTACGCTCGCTGTAGAAGCGAGGGCCGGGCGCGCGAAGGGCCAGCCGAGCCTGGACGAGTGCATCAAGCTCGCTGCGCCGCGTCTGCGCGCGATATTCAGGTACGGCGGGATCCGGCGCGTCGAGGTCGACGCTGGCACATTGAAACGAGCGGCGGCCCGCCCGCGCGCGAAGAAGTTCACGGCCGAAGTCGTCGGCGAGCGCGAGCTGCTGCTCATCGCTGTTCTCCATGCATGGAGAAGCCACATCGGCTTCATATTCGAGGGCCTAGGCCGGGACGAGACGGAGGAGTGGGTCCCGCACTGCATGCGCGTCTGGGAGCAGCAGGCCGACACGTCCGTGCAGCACTCGATCGCCATGGCGTTCAACATGGTGAGCGTGCACGTGCACGCGATGCGCCCGAGCGATGCGTACTTTGAGAGGGGGCGGTACTGGAAGGTGTTCGCGAGCCCGCGCGCGCTGTGGGTTGTTGCCAATTCGCTGTTGAATACGAGGAGCGACGCGGATCGGCAGAGGTTGTGGGCCGAGGTCGGGCATGCGTATGCGCAGGCGTATGTGGATCGGTCGAGGCCGCACGACGTGATTCTTGCGGAGATGCAGGCGAGCCCGGAGAGGGTGCCGGCGCTGGCGCTGTTGGAGATCGCCGCGGCGGTGAGTTTGACGAGCGCGGACGCGCATGTGAGCAGGTTGGCGGCGCATACACTAAGGTTGATTGCGATTGCGGAGAGGCAGCCCGGTGCGCCGGTTAATACGAGTGTGGGGGAGGTGGATAGGGGGAGGAGGTATCCTGTTTATGAGCAGATCGGTATGCGTATCTCTCTTGCTTATACTTGCATATAGTTTGCTGATACACGGGTGCTAGGTGACCCAAGGCATCTGTGGACGGGAAGGCTGGCGTGGCAGAAGCATATTCGCAAGCATTTCGCGACGCTTTCTTTGCCCCAGCCGTACTGCATCGCAGGTTGGAATGAGTGTTACTTCCGGTCCGTATCTTGTCTTTCTCTACACCAGTCTAAACGATGTACTGATTGTGAGGCTGCTTTGTAGATGGTGTGCCCTCACCGAACTCGTCATCCGCGCGCCTGCCGAAGGACTCGAACCAGGCGACGCGCTCGCAGGCGAACTCCCCGGCATGAACGGCTACACCTCCGGTCTTCCTCCACCCACGCCCTCCTCGTCCACCCTCGCCACCACCAACGGCTCATCCTCCAATACGCCCACGAAGTCCAAACCCGACCTGCACGCCGAGGAGCAACGGCAGAATTGGCAACACTTGACCCTGTTCCTTGCAGCGACGGGCGGCGCGTGTATCGATACGGACGGCGGACACGATCCAGGCGCGCTCACGAGTCTCGTGCCGACTGAGCTGTTGCCCGATATGATGAGGGTCCTGAGAGATCCTCGAGAGCTCGTGGGCGCGTTCATACGGTACCTCATCGACCTGCTGCTCGTCGAGAGCGAGATTGCGCGCACGACGGCGCTTCTGGCCTTAGGCTCGGAGCTGCACTTCAGGCTACACCCTAAACTCCTACGCGCGCTGGACGACGTCGTGCATAGCGTCGTCAACGACGCTTCTTCCTCCGGGTCGACCAGCACGGGACGATTGGAATGGACGGACCAGCACGCGCTTTTCTTGAACCAGATCCTCGGCGTATTGGATCTGTTCAGTAAACGGTCGGAGTTTATTCCGGCGCCTGGGTCGACGTCGGGCGAGCTGTTGAGCGTGGATCTGACGCCGACGTTGTACGCTTTGGCCGGGTTCATTAATCGGTTCCCGCTCTCGGGCGATGTGTTGCGTATGCGCGCGCGGCTGTGTTTCTTGGCCGACGGCCTGTGCACTCTACCGGGACCAATGCGAGGTGCAGGCGGAGAAGGCGCTTTGAGACAACGGATGTTGGACGTTCTGCTCGAGTGGATCCGCGCGCCCGAAGGCGAGAGGCAGTGGGAAGAAGAGCAGCGCGCGTTGAATCTCGCCGCACTCAGAGCCAGCGTGCACTTCCTGGATCGGTTGACGTTGAGGGGTGGGGCTGATGGAGGGCTGGTGCATGGGAATCAGAGTGGTGGTGCGGGGATTGGCGGTGGGATTGGTGGGGGTGAGGGGA